TCACAGACCGGTACCTCTTGGAGACACGCCTCTCCCTCTCTCTCTCTCTCTCTCTCTCTCTCTCTCTCACACACACACGCACACACACACACACACACAAACATACACACACACACAAGTACCTCTCTCTCACAGACCGGTACCTTTTGGAGACACGCCTCTCCCTCTCCCTCTCTCTCTCTCTCTCTCACACACACACACACACACACACACACACACACACACACACACACACACACACCGCACGTCTCCCAGACAAGTTCTCTCACGCACACACACACGCACCTCTCTCACAGTTGCACCTCTCTCTCTCTCTCTCTCTTACATAACTAGAGAGTGAGCACATCTGTCCCATCCGCACACACGACATTCTGTCATAAGCAGAAGGGAAAGAGTTCCATGACCAGCCGTTACAGAAATATCTCAGAAACAAACTTAGTTCGTCCTACAATATTCACACTCCGTTCACACCTCTAAATGGAGAGAGGACTTCCTCCACGACAGCCATCACCACCTCCGCTGGAAACGATTTCCGGAGTAGATTTGGGATAATCGCCATGATGATATGATACATGATTGGACCACAAAAGCCACCTCCGCAAATCTGCCATCTGCTACACAGAGCAATGAACACGCCGCCGCCGTTTGAGTCAGTCGTCAAATGCATCCAATCGCTCCCACAGAACCGAACCGGCATTTCCTCCTCTCAGTGCATCCCCCTTTTAGAAGAGAAACAGAGAAGAGAGAGTATGTATACATTGTACCCAGTCGCAATCCGCCCGATTACATCGAGTGTCAGGGAGAGATGCAGCCAACTCAGCAGAGCCAGCCGCAAACACTCTCTCTCTCTCTCTCTCTCTCTCTCTCTCTCTCTCTCTCTCTCTCTCTCTCTCACGTAGATCGCCTCACGCCCATCGTAGGAACAGAGCCTACCACCATCCCATCCAGTCTGCTGCCACTCAGCTCAGCGGGCAGATATCACACTCACACACAAGCATAGGAGGAAATACAATCCACCACCTCTCCTCCTCCACAACCCTCTTCGCTAACTCGACCTACCTTCGCGCCGCCTAAAAGCCGATTTCGCCTCCCAATCCCAGCTTCAAATAAATCCCCCCAAAATTTTGCCGTCATACCCCCCCAGCTAAGATAAGTTGTCCGGCATATCCAGGTCACCCTCCATCGCCTAGCACCCTGGCATGACGACCATTTGTTGTTTTTGCAGACCGAAAAAGTCCCTTTCTAGCCGCTGATTAATTGCCCATCAGCGCCTGGCATGACGACCCTGGCTGATTAGTTGCCTGCCCATCAGCGGACGTTGATCACCAGGCGCACGTACCCATTCCACGTCACCGACCCCTTCCACACCTATTATCACTGATAATATCCTGTACACAGCGCACGATGTTAGTCAGGTACGTTCATCCTCTTCACACGCTTCATCATCTCACCTTCGCCTTCGCATGTCGCATGACATGTGCGACACGGCCACCAGATATCTGCGACACAGTCGTCAGAAAAACATGCGCTACATGGCCGTCAGTTATGTACGACACGGCCGTCAGATACGTACGACACGACCACAGTCGTCAGATACGTACGACACGACCACAGTCGTCAGATATGTACGACACGACCTCAATCACCAGATATGTGCGACACGACTACAATCGTCAGGCATGTTCGGCACAGCCGTCAGATACGTCCCACACGGCCACAGCCGTCGTTAGATACGTGCAACACAGCCGCCCGTCGCCCAATTTTCCATGAGCGATCATCGGCCCCTGCAGACCACCTGCCACATCAGCACACCACGGTGTTCCTCTGCCTGGAGAAGATTCATTTACTAATCAGCACATACAGACAGACAGCATAGATGAAGCCCCTCCCCATACAACCGCCTTCAGATATGTTTAGGGCATTTAGGGCATAGATGTCCATCATGTCTATTTATCAGAGCCTGCGCCCAGCTGTCATACCTCGCCTACGTCCACCTCAGACCCCTCGGTATCCTTCTTCCTCTCTCCTGCTCCTCCCATCTTCTTCCTCTCTCCTCTGATCTTCCCATCTTCTTCCTCTCTCCTCTGCTCTTCCATCCTCTTCCTCTCTCCTACTCTTCCCATCTTCTTCGCCGTCTCATCGCTGCTCTTCCCATCTTCTTCGCCGTCTCGTCGCCAGCTTTTGCTAACACAAGGGAAGCCATTATTATGCTGCCACCGTCAAAGAACCCCGCTACTGACTTCCAGTTGCGTCAGTCGTCTTTATGCATCATCTGTAGCAGCATTACAAAGGTAGCCGCCACCATAGCTAAATGGCACAGCATGTGTTCGTCATTTCATACTGTATTACCTTGGAAACCATAAGAGACCCTGTCCCCCCTCCTCACCCACTCTTCTCATCCCGCCTTCCCAACAACTTACTATCTGTACACAGCAAATACACAGCAGCCCGCCAACAACAGTGAATACGGACGAAGGGGAGAAAGAAGAGGGGGGGCGGCCGGAGGAGAATGGGAGCAAGAGAGCGCGGAGGGGGGGGTCTAGGAAAGGAGGACAGAGGTGGAGGAAAAGGAAGAGACCACAACAGACGGGTACGAAAAGGGCGAGAAGCAGCAAGCAACCCGTTAAGAGAGCGAGCCGCCAGAGACGCAAAAGCGCGAGAGAGCGGCGACATCGTGATTTCTGCCACAGCACTCAAAGCGTAGCTTCGTCTGCTCCGGGACCACCACTACGGACAGATACCGTCAGCCATTCGCGCTGACGAGAAATGGGTTGCCGCAAACTCCACACTCTATGGTCTCCGTACCGAACGCAGGGACCTGCACCTGGAGATGGACAGTACAAGTAGGGCAGGCATACTCCCGCAGATTGCGTCGATCATCCTCCCTCTCCCTGCCTCCACCATTAATGGAAGATGGCCAAAGATGTGGCGGTCCCACAGGAACCCGAGGCGGGATGTGCTCCTGCTGCTGCTGCGGTCTCCCTCCTCCTCCTCCTCCCATTCCCGCCCCCGTAGCATCTAATCCACAAGAACTACAGCGCGAATTTCTGCTCGACACGATAGACACAACACCACATCTTGGACAAGTGAAAGCGGACGGTTGATGATCTCCACTGTCCCCCGATTCCACGCCATATCCGCCGCCATAGCTGCCACTTCCAGTTCTCGAGGAACTGCTAGCCGAACCGCCCCCCCCCCCCCCCCCCCCCCCTCCTCCTCCTCCTCTTCGGGTCTTCTTTTCCAGCTCCTCTTGCAGCTTCTTCGCCAGATCTTCGTGAGTCCTTTGACTACTGACAAGCGATGGCCCCACCGGTTTGGAATTCGTCAATCTCTGCGTCACCTCAGCCAAGCAGCGGTCGCACACACGCACCGGCTGCGCATCTTCGTCCATTGTCAATGGGGTCCTGCCACGTGTGCACTTGTCGCAGAAGATATCGCCGCAATTACGGCAGTGATGACGTCTCAAGAAAGTCGTGAACTCGGCCTGACAGCAAGTGCAGCTCTTTACTGCTTCGTCGGGCACCCAGTGCTGTTTCTCCTCCGCTGGCACTGCGGCGGCGGCGAGCAGCCGCCTACTTGCCACCCAATCAATCAAGGATCCCTTCCTGGGGTCACTCGTACCCTCTCCTGCTGCGGACGAGGACGCACCCTTGTCCCCTCCTCCTCCTCCCTCGCTCCCCCCATTCTCCACCATCTCCGACAGCTGCGCACATGCCGCCGTCAGGGTATCCAACATCGCCGTGGCCGTCACACTGTTGGACTGAAGCCTGACCGCCCTCTGATTAACATCGATAGGACTCTTCGCCCAGAAGGTGAAGACTGACCCATCCTGTACCGACCACCTTATAATGTGTTCCAAGGGGAAGATCTTCAGAGTTTTAGAGCCGTTGATGTCCAGCACACGCACCCCATCAAGCCCGATTTGGCAGAAAACCTGCTGTTGAGAAGGCTCGGTATCTTGAAGCAACTTCACGCGAAATCTTTGAGCACCGCCTACTTCCTCCACATCCGGTTTCTGCCATCTCCCTCCTCCTCCCCCTCCCCCTCCCCCTCCTCCTCCTCCTCCTCGGGACTCCCACATAGGGATCAACACACCTCTACTGCCATAGGGCTCGCCCATCCCGCCATCGTATCGAACGACATCACCTCCTCCTCCCCCGAACTGTGGGGCGGCGGCCAAGTATGACGCCTCCCCCCCCGCGACATCTTCATGCCCTTGCCCTCCCCCTCCGAAGTAATCGTTGTTTGATGACCCCAATCCCACTCCGCTGCCGTACATGCTCATCGACGGCGCCGACGCCTGCGTGTGCTGCCCTCCATGGAAGCTATACGACCCAGCATCGTGCGCTCCGCCCGATCTGTCCATAGATACGGAAGAATGGTCCTGGATCCCAGAAGAGAAGTCACTGTGGTAATTACTAACCCCCACTGTGCTTGGATAGGTCGAACTTGGTTGAGTATACCCGGCTGAGGAATAACCCCCTTGAGCCAATCCGTACCCGTACTCCCCCACCATAGACTGAGGAGCGCCTACGTACCGAGGAGCTGCGATTGGAGCCGTCGGTTCAATCGAAGGGTACAAGACTGGCGCGCCGTAGCGACCCTCCTCTGGGTGGCGATTCATCATCCCTACCACCTCTCACAACCTCCTCTCTCTCTCTCTCTCTCTCTCTCTCTCTCTCTCTCTCTCTCTCTCTCTCTCTCTCTCTCTCTCTCTCTCTCTCTACCCACATAACCACGCCCCCCTTCCCCCCCCTCCTCGAGCTGCTCCTTATCCTACTGCTGATCACCACTTGATTGATGAAAGAAGCAGGCAACGACTGCGCACTCCCGGTGAAGAAAGTTAAGAGGACGGCCCGCACATGCTCCTCTCTGCCACTAATTAATTACAACGTCGATTACCTTGACAGGTACAATCACAAACTGACGTTCTCCATATACTTCAGGTAAGTAGGTCGCAGTCGCAGCCTTAGACAGGAAGCGCATTTCCGAATGTCGTCTTGTCCACGTCGTCTCTTGCCCGTCGGGACCACCACCGTCATGGATACCACGCCTCACCAGAACCTTCTCACGCCCCAATTGCCGAATCTGACTGGACCTGGACCTGCTCACACTCTCCACGCGTCCTCACCCCACTCGCTCCGGCAATTCATTCATTCATTTGGCAACCCGCCGTGCCCTCGGCGCAATTGGGCTGGCGAGTGTCCCCTCTGTGTGCTACCTAGCGGTAGCGCGAAGGTCCCCGCGCCTCTCAGGGGGGGGAAGTTGGTGCTACTCTTTGGTTTCACCTTCCAAAACTTGGCGCGCTGCACTCGCACTGCAGTCGCTTTCCATCACCGAATCGCCACACTGGGCCTCGCCAGAGATGACTTGCCTGGCCTTGGAACTTCACGTTCTTCCCCTGAACCATTTTGGTGGTCCCCAAGAAATATAGGTTGGGCCTCGCGGCACTACTCTCGAAATGTGCAAGACGAGAGCGAATCTTCCGCTAGAATATGGAAAGATGCACCGCCATGAGTTTTGTCTTTTGTGCATGTCGAGAGAGAGAGTGTAGCGAGGGCCATAAACAGCGCCGACCGTGTGTGGACGCATAACATCGAGGTCCGCCTGAACATTCACAAAGAGATTGGACAATATGCATTGATCTGGTGGACCATCTGACGGCCGTTTGTGACTCCGGCGCTGCGGGATTCATCAGCGAAGGCAGCACGCCAGCTGTCGTAATCGCACCTGCCGTCGAACCGTACCGGAATCACAAAATCGCAGAATCGCAAAACGAGCGGCCAGATCGAGTCCTGAGAAACAAAAGGAGGGCTACATATGGTCGCTCATTTTGCGATTCTGCGATTTTTTATTTATTTTTTTTGTGGGGGGGCCAACAACTGCTACCGTAGTGCGATTATGGGCCTCGCTTCACTACTCTCGAAATGTGCAAAACGAGAGCGAATCTTCCGCTAGAACATGGAAAGATACAGAGCCATGATTTCTGTCTTTCGTGAGTGTCGAGAGTAGTGGAGCGAAGGCCTATGCTCTCAGCCTCGAAACGCCTCTGACGCCCTGAAGGTGCAGTGTCGGTAAGGGCCTCGCCACATTTCGAGAGTGATGTGGCGATGCCGTAAATCTGGCCGTGTTCTACAGCGGGAACTTCATTCCGATTTTGCACATTTCGAGAGTGGTGTGGCGATGCCGTAAATCCTCTGGTCCCAAAGGTCGCTATGTTCATGAGGAGCACTACTGGCTTCCCACGCTCCATATTGGGCCTCGCTGCACTACTCTAGACTCTCGAAATATTTCGAAAGTTCGGCTAGCATTGTCAGAGAGGCCAGACTCTCGAAACACCCTCCTTCGCTGCACTTACTCTATAACCTATTACACTACAGTTTTCCCCCAAATACAACGTACTGTCATTATAGCCGAATTTGGCGTATCTTTCGGTCTAAATTCAGCTATAATGACCGTACGTTGTATTCCGGGGAAGACTGTAGGTGAACTCTCGAAACCCTGGGCGTCGTCCTACTCTACAGAATTGACTTACCGTGAGGGCACGGGTGCGCAGCCCGTAGTTCGTTGTTTATGTGGTTCAGGAAGGGTAAGGTAGTGATTATGCTGTATGTATGTTTTGTCATGTTCACTATACACAACTCAAGGAGTCTGTGTGTGTGGGGTGCCGGTTGATGTTCATGGGACACTGGACCTAGTTTCCAGCAGGTGGCGCTCCCCATCAATAGACAGGAGAATGTATAAG